TGCTGTCTTCTCAATTTTGACTTTATATGCATTTGTCCTTAAGGCTTGGTCTTGTGCAGCCAGAATTAGTCCCTTGGTCTCTTTCTTCAACTTTCCTGCTCTTAGCCATTGCCAGGTCTATTTTTTTAACGTATTGGCCATGTAGTGCTTTGTCTTCCCATGCCTCTATTCTGTTCTTCATTTGGTCTTTCTTGTAGGCCAGTTTGGTCTCTCCAGTAGTCAGTAAGCCTTCCTGATATACTAATTTCAGTGCATCTTCATCATTGTTCTTCAGATATTCTTCCAAAGCCATTTTTTCTTCTTCAACCATCTGATGTACTTGTAGCATTCCACGCCCACCTATTTGCCTTGGTAGATAAAGTCTATCAATGTCACTGCGTGGATGAAGGGCATGATTCATTGTCATTATTTTTCTGGTCTGCCTATCCATTGCTTTTAGTTCTGCTTGAGTCCAGTCCACTATTCCAGCTGTGTACCTAATGACTGGAATTGCCCAAGTGTTGATTGCCTTTATGGTATTTCCTCCATTGAGTTTGGACTTTAAGATCTTCTTCACTCTCTTGATGTATTCACCTCTAATCTTTTTCTTGACTTCAGTGTGCTTGATGTTGTCAGCTTGAAGGATGCCCAAGTATTTGTAGTAATCTTCCTCATCCAGACTCTTAATGTTATTTTCATGAGTCATCTTGATTCCTTCAGTTTTCACTTTGTTTTCCATCCCTGTGTATCTGTGAAGGGTAGACACCTTTTCTTCCAGTAGTTCTGCAGCTGCTGCCCCTGGTTGCTCAGCCAACAGTCCTGAGTCTTGTAACCCATTTTTCACCAGATATTCAGGAACTCCAATATCTAGCGTGGACCCTGTTAACACGGGTGACATCCGAGCCAGTATGGCATTCTGTAATTTACGTCTCACCATATTTTTTATGGGAGAGACACTCTTTGTCTGACTCCTCTGATGAGACCTGTCCAGTATGGTTGAACCTCTGGCATAGCTCTCATCTTCATTAGAGTGCACAAGCCCCACAACCACGTCAAGGTAGTGCCTCACTGGGGGTTATTATTATTATTATTATTATTATTATTATTATTATTATTATTATTACATCAATTAAAGATACATATTAATTTAACAATTACAATTTACTGTAGATCCAATTAAGAATTGTATTATAATATATGACATTGATGTTTTGTTTTTCATACACCCACGTGTCACCTATCCTCCGTGAGCTGCACTGGCTTCCTGTGGGTCTCTGGACACAATTCAAGGTGTTGGTTATCACCTTTAAAGCCCTTTATGGCTTAGAACCAGGTTACTTACAGGACCGCATACTGACGCATAGTTCCCAGAGACCGGTGAGGTCCCACAGATTGGGCCTCCTTCAGATCCCATTGGCCAGACAATGTCGGTTGGCGGGCCCTCGGGGAAGGGCCTTTTCGGTGGTGGCTCCGATGTGGTGGAATCAACTTCCCCCCGAGATTCGAACTACTCCCACCTTGCCGGCCTTCAACAAAGCCATTAAAACTTTCCTGTTCCAGCAGGCCTGGGGTTGATGTCCCCGGGGGGCCGGGACACGATTGGGACATGTTGTATGAATGCATTCATTTTTATTGTTATATTTATTTTTTTAATTTTGTACACCGCCCTGAGTCCCTAGGGATTGGACGGCATATAATTTTTTTTTAATAAATAATAAATAAATATGTTTCACCAATGTAATTCCTTTCTTATTTTAACAATGCATTTTGTTTTTGTCTGCCACTCAAAAATGCTAATTACATATGGTATGTGATGCTGAGTAATGCCAAGTAAGTCTAAATAGTGGTATAAGCTGTGATGAATTAAAGAAATAAAAATTTCATATACCTTTCAATATTTTTTTTAAAAAACCTAAATGGGTTTCCTTTGTAAAGGCAACTTTGATAGGATTAAAAAGTTTTCAGCAGACTCCCAATGCTATGTTCTATTTTTTTTATTTTTTTTAGTATGTACATAATATGGAATTCAGCAAAAGGTAAGAGGAGGAAGAGGAGGAAGAGGAGGCAAATGAGAAAAAGAAAAGAAAAGAGAAGAAAAGAAAAGAAAAAAGAAATCTTGATTATTGATAATGAAGATAAAATAATGCACTTTGCCAGTAATTGTCTATTTATAAGAGTCACAATAACTCAATCCAAGTTTTCCTACTCTTCACAGATTTGATAGAACAATTATTTTAAGCAGGGCTTTTTTTTTGTCATGTTGTTGTTGTTAATTGCGAAGTCGTGTCCGACCCATCGTGACCCCATGGACAACATTCCTCCAGGTCTTCCTGTCCTCTACCATTATTATTTTTTTGGTCATAGAACGCCAGAACGGAGTTCCAGCACCTTTTTGGGATGGAACATTTTAGGGTAGGCAAGGCGGGTTGTATGACATGTATGAGTTCCGCCCCCCCCTCTTTTTTTTAGAAAAAAAGCACAGATTTTAAGAAAGGCTTTCCATTAGTTTCATCATCATTTTTATCATTTCTTTCATAATTCTGTGAAAGAGCCTTTGTGCAAAACATGAAAAGATAACAAAGTAGACATATAAAACTATTTTGTTTATCAAATTGCTTTCTCTCTTGTAAACAGAGATGAGCTTTAAACAAGCAGTTAATTTGAAGGAAGCAGTTGCCTTCTGGCTCACTAATGCTTTGCATTGTCTTTTCAATCTTCTTGCTTAGAGAATGTAATTCCACTTTGGTACAAGTTAACAGAGCAGCTGATCCTTCTTTCCTTTTGGAATTCATTGGTACAGTTACTGCTATCTGGGAATACATATTCCTCAATCAACTATATATATTGTTAAATAAGTGAAAACTATCTTTTGCCCCTCCCCTTTTGCTATAATCACATCAAATATATCTTTAAATTGTTTTTCATGTTCTGAGACAAGACATCCCCATGTCAAGAGCGGCTGGTATGAGAAAAAAATAATACAGCAAATGAAAAGGGCTTTTCTTCTGCTCATTGTAGAGGCTGTATTTATTAATATATAGAAAAAACTGCTTGAATGCCTATTTTATTTATTGTCTGTCTATCTATCTATCTATCTATCTATCTATCTATCTATCTATCTATCTATCTATCTATCTCAATTACATTTATATGCTGCCCATCTTGAGGTTCAAGGCAAATTTAGCTGGCAATGTGTATTTGTGTGTATGTGTTTGTTTGTGTATTTTATTTATTTAAAAGATGTATATGGCTCCCATCTTAAACAACACTGTGCAACTCAAAACAATAGTAAAGCCTGTAACTGTCCCATAGTTCAGCTAAGCTCTAGACCTGGTCCAAGCAGCCCATGGAATGTCTCCATTTTGAAATGTCTTGATTTTGAAAAGATATGCACATTCATGAAACTGAGATAGTTTATCATATTAGCAAGGTAATACATTATATATATATAGTTCACACTTCTGTGTTAGACCTTTTGGCAGAGAAAAAATAAATGAGATTAATAGCATATATTTCACTTTATGCTAAACAGGTTTATGGTGAAATCCAACCATGTATTTTTTTTTCAGAAAAAAAATGCCCTGTGGTTAAGTGGATTTATTTTTTAATATTTCTGCTAAAAAAATCCAATTCTTCAAATTATTTTTTAATTAGAGGGTAAAATAAATGGACAACAAGCTTCAATCTCCAAGAAACTCTGCTACTTGGTTGCTGCTATACAAGAAATAGAGATTCCTCCCTTCCTCTCCATAGGTATTTCCTGCTGTTCCTCTTGTCCCTTCTACCAAAGACAAATCAATTTTGCCCCTAATTTTAGTACAGGTAGTCCTAGAGCTACAAACAAAATTGAGCCCAAAATTTCTGTTGCTAAGCACAACAGTTGTTACATGAGTTTTGCCCCATTTTATTACCTTTCTTGCCACTGCAGTTGTTAATGGCTTCCCCATTAATTTTGCTTGTCAAAAAGTTGCAAAAAGTGATTGCATGACATCAGGACACTGCAACAGTCATAAATATGAGCCAGTTGTCAAGATTCTGAATTTTGATCACATGGCTGTGGAGATGCTGCAATAGTTGTATGTAAAAATGGTCATGTCACTTTTTTCAATGTCATTGTAACTTTAAACCAGGAGTGTAAACTTGCAATGTCATGTGACATGTTGTGACATATCGTGACTTTTTTTCCATTGCCGGCAATTGGGTGGGCATGTTTTCAGCATGGCACATCTAGCCCATGGGCCAGCAGTTTGACACCCCTGCTTTAAACAATCACTAAACAAATGATTCTAAGTCGAGGACTAACTGTAATGGAGGAGTTGGCCAAAGTATTTGACTATTTATTTAATTAATTAATTAATTAACCTAGTATCTGGTTGAGTTATCTGCAAAAGATATGTAGGACATATGCTTTTTGTTATCACAGTATTATGGAAAATATGGTGGTATGTTTTATGGATCCATTTCCTTTAATTGCTTAAATGTAAGCATTAATTAATTTATTAGAAATGTATACAATGTCTAATTTGATTAGATTGCAAAAATAAAATATCAAAATAAATACAAATCATCTATAAAATTCTAATAACTTTCAAAAATAATAACATTAACCAAACAAAACAATAAAATAAATAAATACTTTTGTCTCTTGAGTTGAGATAAGCCAAGTGAAGAAGCCCCTCATACTTTAATTATCAATGAATCAAGTAAGCCATATTCAATCAGTCCAATGCTTTAAAAAAAATCTTTTTTTTTACATCTGTAAGTTTTTGTCCCACTACTTGTATCTTGAAATCAGATCTTGATTCCCAACTGAGGAAGAGTATAAAGGTGAGACCTTATGTGCTACTTTCATAAAATCCAGTGGATCCTAAAATTACTAAGGTTCAATTTTGTAAAGATTATCAGTCTGGATATAACTCCTCAATTCTAACCATAATTCATCCACCAAAAAGAATTTGCAGTTTAGTGTTTTGGGATACTATAATAAATACAACTTTTATTATATTATTAGGACATGGAAAGTTGGTCAGTAGTCCTTTATTTATCAACAAATAACAAAGAATACATCTTCAAAGTATTTATAATAAAATTAAGGTAACTCACAAAGCACATAAAATGCTTGCTAAACGTGACTGCTATCCATGTGAGGCTGAATATATGGAATTTGACTAGAACTACTGCCAATATAGCAGAAACAACTGAAAAATAGCTGCATGATGAATGTATACAATGCAATTACTAGGAATGTTTTCAGTGACAGCCATGGGGAGCTATAAAACTGATGGGTTTTCTAAACAGCATGTAGTATTGTACTATCCTAAATTCTGATATGAAATAATATATCCCAACTTTCCAAATAAATGTACTAACCATATTAGGGTGTAGAATATATTGGATCTTTTAACCCTGCCGCCTGATTCTTATACAATTACATAAAATGAAATGCATATTGGAATGTATTACATTGCATGTTTCAAAGTTAAAAAGACAGTGAGACACAGAGATACATATTGTAAGAAGAAACAATTTTTTTAAAAAAATATCATATTTTCATCCTTATACTTTAAATAAACTGTTCGGAAGGATATTAGAGTAAGACTACCTTGCTTACTTTGAATTATCTCCCACTATTACAGAAGACTCAATAAGAAGTCCATATACTCTCATATCGGAGCATAATTTTACTAACAAAAGTGAGGATTTGGTGGAAACAGCATGTCACACTCTTGCTGTGTCATTAATTATTATCATTAATTCTCATTGGTGATGCTATGCAGATTTTAAATCAGAAATTATGAACATTATTTAATGGGTAAAGAATGGGCCTCATCTTTCCAAATAGTTTCTCTAGACCAGATCTCATCTCTTTGTTTTTCAGGCTGTAGATGATGGGGTTTAACATAGGAGTTAAGATGCTATACTGAATAGAGATAATTTTATCCAAATCCATGAAGGATTCTGAACTTGGCTTCATATAGCGAAACAAACCTGAAATGTAAAATAAGCACAGGACAATAAGATGGGAGCTACATGTGGAAAAAGCTTTCTGCCTGCCTACTGATGATTTAATTTTCAGAATAGTTAAAATGATGTAAATATAAGAGACAAGTGTGATGAGAAATGAGCCAGAACCAAATACCATCACAGATATTAGAAGAACAATATAATTTGTGAAGGTATTTGCACACGACAATGCCAAGAGGGAAGGAAGTTCACAAGTATAGTGTCTGATTATATTGTTGCCGCAAAAATGGAGATTTAGCAAAGGTACTGCATTCAGTATACCATGAAATAATCCAAGAAGCCAAGCTCCACCCACCATTTTAATGCATATTTCTCTTGTCAGGTATCTGCTGTAATTCAGGGGATCACATATAGCAACATATCGATCATAGCCCATTGCTGAGAGGATGAAGACCTCTGCAGCAGCAATTTGTAAAAAGAAAGCAATCTGTGCAATGCATCTTTCCCAAGAAATGGTTTTCTGATTTGTAATAAAGTTTGCCAGCATCTTGGGAACAGTTACTGAAGAATAGCAGATGTCAGCAAAAGCTAAATGGCTGAGAAAGAAGAACATGGGGGTTTGAAAGTGAAGCTCAGACCTGATCACTAATATAACACTTATATTTCCCAGGATAGTGAGTACAAATATGATCATAATCAAAAGAAGAAGAAAATCCTCTATGTATGGATCATTTGAGAGTCCCAACAAAATAAACTCCATTATTGCAGTTTGGTTTTCTATTTGAGATGATTTGAGAACCATAGGATCTGTTAGAAAAGAAAACAAAAATGGTAAAATGTCAAATTAATATTGAACGCTACATGGAAATTCATTATGCTGGATTTCCTAATTTTTCTTTCTTTCATAAGAGAGCCAACTTAAGTGTTGCCTATTTTCTTGAAATTTTAATTCATTTTTTGTTTTAAAGTATACTTGTTAGTATCATTTGCGTATCTAGCTGGGCTTTTATGAAGTAATACATTTTCTTTGATTACAGCACTGAAATTCAAGTTCTTTGCATAGGATAAAATTCTATTTGAATTAAACTTTTTATTAGTTAATATGTATTATGCCAAGAAAAAGTAGTTTTAAGGAAAGATTAATACACACTACTATAAATGTCTATTCGTTCAAAATGCAGAGATTTCAAGATAATCAAACATGTTAAACTTTTTTTCTTTTGACAAAACTATCTCCTTGTCCTACTTGGCCTTTTTTTACCCTGAGTTTTTATGATTTCTCACTCCAGTAAGAATTTGGATTATTGAATCTTGCTTATCTATTTTTAAAAAAATCTTAGCCAAGTGTATATAAATGGAGATATCTGCTGTGAAAAATTGAAAAAAGAAAACACTAATGGTTGAAAATTACAAAAAAATATATCTAAATTGATATAACATCTACATCATCTTTGCTTCTTATAAAATGGGAGGGATTGTGTGACATTTAAGATTAACCTATTTTTTAACAGAATATACTTATATGTAACTCAAAGTTTAAAAAATACTGAATGTTAAGATTGAGCAGAATTAATTTTACTAACCCCCTAAAACAGGTTGGGTTCAATCATGATCTATATGTAACAGCCAAATAACCCAACTGTAATATTGCAATTCAAATTAGGTTTGATTGAAAAAAAAATTTCGCAGTCATCTGTTCTTAATTCTGTCAAGTATTGCAGTAAGCTGTGAAAGAAGACCTAACCTGTGTTAGAGAACTGCCTATTCATAAAACTGCTTTCCTTTCTCTTAACCCACACTCCACATTAGACATGCATTTACCTTGCAGGAAATAGTTCTTTTACAGTAGAAAAACACTCTGTATCTTTGGCACCCTCATCTAAATGTGCAAGAGGCTTTCTTTGAGCAAGATAATTAAAAAGGATAAATTCATACTACTATTTGTAGCAGAGCAGAGAAAACCAATTGGGAATGGATCATCCCCAGATAAAAATACACGAAAGGTAGACATATCAAAGATATTTTGCTTAGTTCTTTTTTCTTTTTCTTTTTTCTTTTTTTATTTAAAATCATAGCATATATATATGATTTGTTGTTATTGTTTCGAAATCCACACAACATAAATAATGGTATATGAAAGAAATAAATATTTCTGAATTAAACCAAATTATATTTAATCTCCACAAAAACAAAGATACAAAAAAGGATAAAAGCCACACCAAAATTGAGAATACTTTTGAATAATCCTATGTCCAATATGATAATCAGGGAAGGGTTCATAATACTCATCCCTCATACTACTACTGGTGTAGTGGGTAAGAAACCAAATTAGAAACTGGGAAACCATGAGTTTTAGTTCTGCCTTCAGCAAGAAGACAGTTTGATGTCAGTCCTTCCAGCTAAAACAGATAAGAAACATGATTGGACAAGCTAATTCTACTTTATCGTAAGATTACATTAATATTTAATGTTAAAATGTTAGAAGATTTAAGAGAAAGGGGCGTTGTCTTACCTGAACGCCTTTTCTCAGCATGATGATGGAGAATCCACAGATGGGTTGTCTTAATCTATCTGCTCCAATTAGACTAAGTCTGAAATTTAGTACCGCCCCCTCTGTGCCAACTGCACCCCAGTTTTAGGCTAAGGCGATACTCAGACTTTAGTCCGACGCGTCTGAACAATATGGGAACCAGGCCAACTGACCTAATGGGAGGGAGTGGATTCTCCATCATCATGCTGAGAAAAGGCGTTCAGGTAAGACAACGCCCCTTTCTCCAGCATGATTGGATGGAGAACCCACGGATGGGACATACCAAAGCCCTGTGTCCCTAGGGTGGGGAATTAGATTGGGCCTGGGTCCCATCCAACGTTAATGCGTGTTCTAGAACCTTGCGGCCAAATGAAGCCGTAGAAGATGCATATATATCCCTCTTGTAGTGACAGACAAAGGAAGAGGGCGATGCCCATGTTGCTGCTCTACAAATTCCCTCTACGGAGGCCTGAGTAGACCAGGCAGCTGTAGTAGCTGCGCCCCGGTGGAATGGGCCGTGATATGCCTGGGATCTCGCAGTGACTGAGACTGGTATGCCAGAGAAATACAAACTCTAATCCACCTGCGTATTGTGGTTGAAGAAACCTTCTGACCTAGTGATGAAGGGTGATAGGACACAAACAGAGCCTCTGTTCTGTGGAAAGATGAGGTTCTCTGTATATAACAATATAAGCCCTGCGCACATCCAATTTGTTCCACTGAACCTCTATATCATTAGATGGGTTAGGACAGAAGCCTGGCAAAACTATTTCCTGAGATCTAGGATACAAGGACTTGACCTTAGGCACGAAGGAGGGGCCTAGCCTAAGGGTTACCCTGTCCTTATGGAACGTACACAGGTCCTTCCTCACTGAAGAGTAGCCAGTTCAGATATCCTTCTCGCTGAAGTACAGCAACAAGAAATTCCACCTTCATCGATAACTGTTTAAACAAACCAGTGTCAATAGTTCAAAGGGTGTGAAACAAGAGCCTATAAACCTGATGAAGATCCCACGAGGGGTATCTATGTACAGTTGATGGTCTGACGTTGTTAGCTCCTTTTAGGAAGGAGCGTATCATAGGGTAATGTGTTAAGGATTCATTGCCACAGGAAATAACTGTGGCAAGTGCTGCTACCTGCCTGTGGATGGTGCTTGTGGAAAGCCCTTTGTCTAGACCATCCCTCAGGAACTCCAAGATAACTGGCATTGAAACTGCCAAAAGGTCAATTTTTGGAACTGAACACCAATTACAGGAGTCTCTCCATGTGGCATCGTATATTCTATTCGTCGAGGGTCGCCTGGATTGCTGAATCATAGCTATGACCCTTGATGAATATGAGTCTCAGCCTAAGGCCTGCCTCTCAAGTGCCAGACGGTTAACTGGAGTCATTGAGGGTCTGGATGGCGTAGTTCCCCCTGAATGTGGGAGATGCGATTTGCTGGGATCCTCCATGGAGATGATGCGGAGAGCTCCATCAGGTCGGCGACCAAGAGCGTCTCGGCCAATGCGGCGCAACCAGGAGGACCTCTGCTCGTTCGCGAAGGATCTTCCTGATCGTGGCAGGAAGAAACGGAGAGGAGGGAAGGCATAGAGCAGTTCCCTGGGCCAGGGACTGCGGAGCGCATCTGTTCCCTCCGCTGATGGAGGTGGGAACCCGGAAAGGAATCTGGGAAGTTGTGAGTTGGTTGGGGAGGCAAAAGATCTAAGGTTGGGGAACCAAACCTGTCCACGATCTCTCTGAACACCTTCGGATCCAGCTGCCATTCGGAATGGTCCATGGTTGCTCTGCTTAGTGAGTCCGCCTGCTGGTTGGTCACTCCGGATATGTGCTCCACCCTGATGGAGGCAAGATTCAGTTCCACCCAGGACCCCAGCAATTTGGCCTCCTGCATGAGAGGCCTGGACCTTGTCCCCCCTTGTCTGTTGACGTGGGCCTTGGCTGTAATGTTGTCGGTTAAAATCAGGACATGTTGGCCCTGTACTATATCGGTGAATCCCTTTAGGGCCATATGTATGGCTCTGAGTTCCAGCCAGTTTATATTGTTCTTTAGGTCATGTTTGGACCACCGACCTTGAGCCCAGTGCGTGTGGAGGTGTGCCCCCCACCCAAACAGGCTTGCATCTGTGGTAATGGTTAATCCTGTCTGGTTCTAATACTGCTCCCCATGACAGCGCCGGGGAGTCCCACCATTGAAGGGAGTTCAAGTCTCTGAAATGGAAGGAGAAGCCATGTAATTCTCTGGCGTGGAGGCGTGCCCATGGCACAATTTGCACGCAGGACACCGTCTTCCCCAGTAGCTGTGATAGGGAGGCCAATGTGACTACTCTGGCCCTTTGGATCCGACGTACAAGAGTCTGAATAGAGTTCCTTCGGTCCTGAAATAGGTAGACCGTACAATTGTCCATGTCTATAACAGCGCCCAAATGGAGGAGCCGGGTTGTTGTATGACTTTTCTGGAAATTAACAGAAAACCCGTGCTCCTGAAAGACCTTGATGGCTAGGGCGAGGTCTGACTGAGCGTTTCGGAATGATGATGACTGAATTAGTATGTCATCTAAATAGCATTGAATTCTGATTGGAATTTGTCTAAGGTGGGCTGCGAGCACTGCCAGTACCTTGTAAATACCCTCGGTGTCGATGAGAGGCCAAATGGTAGGGCTCTGTACTGGTAGTGGGCATAGCTGAATCTGAGGAATTTGCGGTGGTTAGGAAACATGTATCAGTTAGGTCTATTGAGGTAAGAAAGTCACCTTGCCTGATGCTGGCCAGGATTGATTGAAGTGGTTGCATCTTAAACTTCTTATACCTCAAGTAAGGTTTAGACCTTTCAAGTCTAAGATTGCCCTCCAGCCCCCCAAGTCTTAGGGATGACAAAGAGGTTTGAGTAAAACCTTCATCCTTCTTGGTCTTGTGTACTGGTTCAATTGCTCATTTGCTCGTATTTGTAATAAATGAGCTATGGCCTCTGACATAAAGTCAGCCCTGGACCTGCTCGCTGGGATAGGGCAAGAGCGGAATTTGTCAGGTGGTTGAGAACAAAATTCTAGTCTCAAACCTTGCATGACAGTGGCTAACACCCATGCATCTGTAGTGATGGCTGTCCAAGTGCTGGAATAAGGGGCCAGCCGGCATCTGTAGTGGTGACTGCCCAAGTGCTGGAATAAGGGGCCAGCTGGCTTCCTATGGGAAGTGAGACTGTGAGATCACTTGCCTCATTTAGAGGAACGGCCCCTCGGCCTTGAAGGGGCTGCTTGGCCTGGATCTGTGGTCTGCTTCTGCATGCTGAACGATCCTGCTGTAGAGGGATGCCTGGGCCCAGTCCCAGGATGGAGCTGGTCGAAAGGCAGCCTCCTGTAACTGCTCTGTGATATGAGTTAACCAGAGTTTTACATTTGTCCTTACCTTCAGTTAAGTATGGTTCTAGTGCCTTACCAAAGAGATGTCCACCTGTGTAAGGTTTAGAGGCCGTAGGCCACTTGGTCTTGGTGTCTGCTCACCAATTCCTGGGCCAAAGGAGCCTTCGTGCTGAGATGTCTGCAGCGATGGTCTGGCAGTGTATCTAGCCATGTGCAGAGAAGCGTCGGCTAGGTACTGGGATGTAGCCACTAACTTACCCAGATTTTGGTGAGCTCTGAGCTGGTCCAGAGGGATCCTGTCCTGGAGCTCACGTAACTCAAGGGCTGAAAGCCTGGCGAAGAAGGCCATGGACATTGCCGCCTTTGTTGCCCAGGCTGATGCCAGATGGGAACTACGCAATGCGGAGTCAATCTTTTTATCCTCCGCCCTAAGTGCCTCATTTATGTCCCCAGGGATATTAGCATTGGGAAACAATGAGTTCAAGACTCATCAATCTCAGGAATCTCCAATAGGGAGGCCTGAGAATGGGCAACATTGAATAATGTTCCCTCTACTGCACCAGGGCTTAAGAAGGATCCTAAGTTCTCCCATTGTTCTTGAACTATATTCAGAAAAGGGGAGGGCAGGGAATATTGTTCTGCGAGACTGAGGGCTCGGTGTATATGGTGTGGTGACCCTTGGACGTTGTAGGTGGGGTCTCCTGTTCTTGGGGGAGGTTTGCAGTAGTGCAGGCCCTGAGTAGCAAGGAATTAAGGAATGAATGGTCAAAGAGACCGACAGGAGGGGTGGGGTCAGAGGGAGTGATGCCCTCGTCCTCAAACAAAATCAGGCCAGATTGTTCAGCCCCTATAGATTCCAAATCCGATGAGGGATCCTCCATCAAATCTGGAGATTGTGGATGATACGCGCCTGGGGGGGTGGCTTTTTTTTGGGAATCCATCCAGCGAATGGATTCCCAAAAAAAAAAGGCCATTAGAAGAAGAAGGCCTTGAGGCCTGTGGCCTAAGCTGCGATGAGCCCTCATTCCGAGGAATCGCTTGGGCTCCTAACGCAGTGAATGGATTCCAAAAAAAAAGGCCATTAGAAGAAGGCCTTGAGGCCTGTGGCCTAAGCTCCAATGAGCCCTCGTTCCGAGGAATCGCTTGGGCTCCTAACGCAGTGAATGGATTACAATTAGGTGAGCTGAGAGAGGCTGAGGCAGGCCGAGGCCTAGTAAGGCCTCCAGGCTTTGAAAATTGGATCGGTGCCAAAAACTTTCTCCTGCTGCTGGGGCGGTCTGCTGAGGCCGAGGGACCTAGAAAAGGCTCCCTCCAGGCCTGATGAGCCTCGTCGTCCCTTGCGGAGCCCCCCAGTCAATTGGCAAGCTTACCCCTGCCTCTAAGGCCTCCAGGCTCTGGTTAGAAGAATGGAGCCTCTGATGCAGAGGAACGGCCCCTGGTAGGAGATTTCTCTTGCTTCTGGGAATCCAATTTTCAAGCTGATTGTGAAGCTGAAAGGCTCTCAAAGGGAGAAAGGGAAAGTTTCCCCCCCCCCCAAAGGGAGGTTTTGTCAGCCTGTCAGCCTGCTAGGCTACAGGTTGGGATGAAATAAAATAGGAATACACAGTCTTCTGCTCCAGGAGCGAAGAAAAAACGCGTCTTAGAGCAAAGAGACTAAGTCTAAAACTGGGGTGCAGTTGGCACAGAGGGGGCGGTACTAAATTTCAGACTTAGTCTAATTAGAGCAGATAGATTAAGACAACCCATCCGTGGGTTCTCCATCCAATCATGCTGGAGAACAACAGATTTGTAAGTGATCTTGGAGATCTTCTAGTCCAATCCCCTGCTCAGGCAAGAAACTCTATACCAAGGGTGTCAAATTCGCAACATCACATAATGTGTCACAATGTATTGTGACTTTTTTGCCATTGCCGGCAATGAGGTCAGCTCAGTTTCACTATGATGCATCTGGCCCATAGGCTGGCAGTTTGACACCCTGCCCTATACCATTTCAAACAAATGGCTGTCTATTATCTTCTTTAAAACCTCCAGTGGTGGAGGCAAGTCATTTCACTGATTGTTCTGTCAGAGAATTTCTCCTTGGTTCTAGGTTGCTTCTCTCCTTGATTAGTTTGTATCATTGCTTCTTGTCCTGCCTTCAGGTGTTTTCGAAAATAGGTTGACTCTCTCTTCTTTATGGAAACCCCTTTGTGGCAACCCCTAAGACTGAAAGTACAAACTTCCCACCTGCCACTTTTACTTGCTTGATCCACTGGAGTATTGGTTCTTAATTTATTTTTGTAACTGTTAAGTGACTGTGGGCTTCTGCCCATCTTGTCTGATTATTTCTAGGTAGCATCACTTCTTCTCTTTCTCCATTTCATTACATGCAGAGGCTTAGGAACAGTCTGCAGGAATGAAATTTCAAACCACTTTTGAAATAATGGCAAGAAAACTGCAAAGATCAGTTCAGGCAGTTACCAAGTATCAATACTGACTTGAGGACACACAAGAGATGCAAAGTCCAATCTATTTGGGAAGTTCATCTTTGAGTTCTGTTTTTAATATTATTTTCATATATGAATGCTGCTTCCTTGCCATGTTGTTATTGTACAAGATTTGTACAAATGGGTTTGTCCCAATTAAAGGTCCATTAGAGAAATAAATTGGGTAGCCCAACCCAGCGTGAAGCATTGGATTAAAAAAAACCAGTAGTCCTCATTCCAGATAACATTCTTTATATCTGCACAGCATTATTTTCATCCTTGGTTTTTTTTTGGGGGGGGGGGGAGGATTATTATTTATGCTCTTTATGTACATGCTTTGGAGGAATAATGGATTGGTTTCAGATCCAATAGATACATAATGATAACTATCCTGAGAGACTAAAATGAAAAAAAAGTATGGTACCCATCATTTACATAAACAGCTAATAAAATTACTATTACAGTAATATGGCAACAAAAAATAAAACCACAGTGGATATTTTCTTGATTCTTTAAAAAAGTGGACTCAGATGGATATCAGTGTGACATCACTTTGCTTCCTTTGAATTATTCCTTACTATTACAGCAGGGTGCAACATGAAATCCTCATACCTTCATATCAGAACATAATTCTAATGTTGAGGACTTGGGGAAGTAGCAACAGTCATTCCAGCTGCCTCATTACTTCTTATTCTTTTCATTGTTGGAGCTGTTGGGATTTTAAGAAGAGCAGCCAATACTTTTTCATGACTAAAAAATGAACCTACAGTTTCCAAATAGTTTTTTTACACTAGAATTGATCTCTTTGTTTTTCAGACTGTATATGATTGGATTTAACATGGGTGTTAAAATGCTATACTGAATAGAGATCACTTTGTCCAGATTGATAAATGATTCTGAACTTGGCTTCATATAGCGAACAAAAGCTGTAATGTAAAACAACCCCACAACGATGACATGTGAACTGCATGTGGAAAAGAGTTTCTGCCTGCCTTCTGCAAGTTTAATTTTCAGGATGGTTGAAATAATATTAACATAAGAAATCAGAGTGAAAAGAAATGAGCTAAAACCAAACATAAACACAAATATTAGAAGAACAATGTAATTAGTGAGAGTTTCAGCACACGACAAGGCCAAGAGTGAAGGAAGCTCACAATTATAGTGTCTGATTATATTGTTGCTGCAAAACTTGAGGTTTAGCAAAGGCAGAACATTCCCTATAGCACATAAGGAACCTAGAATCCAGGCTCCACCCACCATTTTACTGCATATCTCTTTTGTCAAGTATTTGCTGTAATGAAGTGGATCACATATGGCCACATAACGATCATATCCCATTCCCGAAAGAATGAACAGTTCTGTGCAACAGGTTTGTATAAAGAAGAAAATCTGTGCAATGCATCCTTCCCAGGAAATGGTTTTCTGTTTTGTAATAAAATTTCTTAGCATCTTGGGAACAGTGACTGAGGAATAGCAGATGTCAACAAAAGCTAAATGGCTAAGAAAGAAGAACATGGGGGTCTGAAGGCAAAGTTCAGTCCTGACCACTAATATAACAGTTGTATTTCCAAGGATGGTGACTAAAAAAATTATCATAAATAAAAAGAGAAAAAAATCCTCTATGTGTTGATCATTGGAGAGTCCCAACAAGATAAACTCTGTTATTCCAGTTTGATTTTCCAGCCCAGAAGATTCAGGAAACATAGGATCTGTCAAAAAATAAAACAGTTAATTATGCAGTAAACAAAGATATATGGTATGATGATTTCAATTAAACATACATATTAATTTAAGTATCACATTTTCTTGAGATCTGTACTGAGAATTATGAGATAGGTGTTCTTTTTTTCACATCTATCATCAAAATGAAAATTTAAGTGCTGCCTTTCTCACTTTAACATTATGTTTTCTTGATTGTTATGATATTGTAATTCATTGGTAATCAGTCTTTATTGTGAATACCTAAGAAACCTAAGGAAAATGTTAAATATTATCTGAGACTTTGGTTTCTTCATAAAGTCAAAATGGAGAGATTTCAGGGAGTTGAAGTGCAAGGGATTAAGTGGTAGGACAATCTATAGTATTTATTTTGGCCATATTTGTCCTGTTCTATACCGGGTATTTACTGATTTGCTTTCACTGTATTTCATAGGCAGTTTCTCCATCTTCATTGTTCCCTTCCAACTCTCAAAAATCTCTCTTGCTGGTCCTACTATATATGATTGCATAGACACATTCGCTTTGTTTTTACCCCCTCTGGCAGTAACACAAAAGTAATTTATTTCATTCTCCCACAAAGCTTTGTTCTTTTCTTTTCAAGCTATTGGGGTTTTAATTTTTGTTTTGGCCATTTTCCAAATGTAATTTTTTTAAGAATAGCCAAATAAGGCTAAATAGAGGCATCTACTATTGCAAATTGGAAAAAAAAAACATTTTGTATGTTATTCAAAAGTGGGAGGGGTGGTATAAAATATCCAAAAGATTGTATTTCACAATGGAAATTATGATAGGATTTTAAAAAAATCAACACACACCAAAAGTGTTCTTACTCTGAATTATTTTTATATATATATCTGATATAGAACTGAAGGAGAAGGAGAAGGAGAAGGAGAAGGTGATGAACATAATAAATAATAAATATAGTTGAACCTTTATTATAATGTGCTAGTAATGATCAGTTTATAAGAGCTACAAAAACCCAGCCAGAGTTAGTTTGCTTAGATTAGATTGAAAGCTTATTTTAAGAAAGCATTTAATTCAGTTATTTAATCATTTTTGTCATTAATTCTGTACAAAAACTGTAGGGTTAATGTGAAAAGTAAAAAAAAAAGACATACAGAACTGAAAATGCAGTGAGATTTTAAATGAGCAGTTACCTTGAAGCTTAGAGATGTTTAGCATCTTATATTGACCTGTGCAACCTTTCTGTTAAGACTGTGTGAGTACAATCTGGAGCAAGATAATAAAAAGAGAAGGGAACTGATTCTTCATTCCTTCTGGAATTCATGAAATTAATTTCATCTCAGAATACATATTCCCCAAACAACAGTATGTACTGTTTAAATGAGTCAAAGATACATTTTGCTTCCCCCCTCATTATTTCCCAAAAGTTATAAATTTAAATATCTTTTTTTTTCATGATGTGATACAAGATCTGTTAAGACTGTGTGAGTACAATCTGGAGCAAGATAATAAAAAGAGAAGGGAACTGATTCTTCATTCCTTCTGGAATTCATGAAATTAATTTCATCTCAGAATACATATTCCCCAAACAACAGTATGTACTGTTTAAATGAGTCAAAGATACATTTTGCTTCCCCCCTCATTATTTCCCAAAAGTTATAAATTTAAATATCTTTTTTTTTCATGATGTGATACAAGATGGGGTCCACGGCAACTTCAACTTTAGTAGGTTTATTGTTAAGAAAAAGATGGTATACTTTATTGTCTTACATGGAACTCAAAAGGTCTTTTCTTCTGCTTAACCTAAATGCTGAACTTATTGAAAGTCTGAAGAACTGCTTGAAAGCCTTGGTGTATGTTCAATAAGGTAGAGGCAGCCATGATGAAATAGCACACTTAGAAGGTGGAAACACAATCTGGAGTGTACCTTATCTATCCTATCTATTCCAGTGGGAAAGATAAATATTATTTGGTGATCTTGTAAATAATAAAGTCCAATGCCATGTAGGGTGATAATCAACATCTTGAATTGAATCCAGAAAAAATCTGAAAGCCTGTGTAGCATGGGTAATAGGAGTGTAACAGAAACAAATATATAATACTCTGTGTGCTGCTACATTATACAAGTTGTAACTTCCAAGTAGTCTTCAAGGCCACTTCAATATAAAGCACATTTGTAATTCAAACAGGAAAATGACTAAGGCATGAGTGATTATGTTCAATACTTCCCAGTCCAGGAAAGGATGCACAATATAGTTTTGTAAACCCCCCCCCCAGCCACAGCTGCCACCCACTCATCAGGCAGGTGTCATAAGTCTTGGACGACCCTCAAACTGAACACCAGCTTGATGGAGGAGAGCAACCTCATTCAGAGTGTAAAATGACAAGTAACTAGACCCTGGAAAGCCAAAAACTCAGAGCTACTTTGTTTTGCCAAGCTTGAGGCAAAGAAGATTCTTTCCCATCCAGACCTTTATATGCTATAGCACTTGGAAAGTATGGCAAAAGCACCATCTTTCTGGATAAGGGTAGAAATGTGTAGCTGAGTATCATCAGTATAGTGAGGATGCTATAACCCATGCAATCAGATGACTGCAATTAGCAGTATTATGTAGATGTGAAAAAGAAAATGGAAGAGACTTGAGCCCTGAGGAACCTTACAAGGGCCTAGGGTTTAACCTCTTTTCATCCATCAATATCAATTGCAACTGGCAATAGGAAAAGACTAGATCACCACAAAATCCTGGGGAAGATACTGAGAAGGATACTATGGTTGATGGTATTAAAAACTGCCAAGAGATCCAGGAGAGCCAGGATGGTTTTACAACTTCACCTTGGGCCCTCAAGTTCATCAGCAAGAATGATTTATGCCCTTTAGTGCTGTACCTATAATTTGGCTGAATCCGCACTGGAAACATTCAAGAGAATCCATTTCATCTAGGCAATGAGAACACTGTCTACATCAATGAGGATAAACCAGCTCACACTCCTCCTAGATCAGAGATCCCCAATCTTTTTGTGTTCGCGACCAGGAGGGAAATGAGCAAATGGGGCCACAAGCACACACATGCCTCAAATGGGCCATTTGAGCACAAGTGGGGCTGCTAGTATCTGTGTGACACAAACGGGGCCACTAGCACCCACACGATGGTGGTGGTGGTGCTTGCAAAAGTGGGGGGTGAGTGTGAGCCACAGCCACAGCCCACAGGATCATTTCACATTTAAACAATTAAATCATTATGTATACAAAATGTATTATATTAAACAATGTTATTTACTTATATTAGTGTATCACTTGACAGTATTGCAAATTTTGAAAGAGGTTATTTTGCCTATAGTTCAGCTAAGCGCTAGACTGCCCTAGCAGCCCATTGGATGTTTCAATCTTGAAATGTCTTCATTTTCAAAAGATTTGCAAATCCATGAATTTGAGATAGGTAACATATTATAATTCACACATCTGTGTTATGCTTACACCTCTTTTGGTATACAAAAAAATAAATCAGATCGGTGGTATAGTTTTGGGACTACACTGAACCTGTTTGTTATGAAGTCCTGATGATGTTTTACTTTTTCAGAAAAAAATATTTTGTGTTTACCTGAATTTCTATTAAGAAGTCAAGTATAAATAATTATTTTAATGAGCTGGGTAAAATGAATAAAGGGCTTTAATTTCTACTCTGGTACTTATCTGCTGCTTTAAAGGAAAATTGATGCTTTTTCCCTTTTTCCCCACAAGTATTTCCTGCTGTCCCTTTTGTATCATCTGGTAATAAAAAAAAACAGCAAGAAAAAATAGCTACTTTGGAGTAATTTGGAAACTAAAAAGAATAAAAAAGAAGCTTCCCATTGATTTTAGTAGAAGAGGAATTGGCCAAAGAACTTGATTATTTATTTCTTTTCACCTGAAAAAACAATCCACAGGAAGTATTTTCTCTAATTCTGAGAGCAGGAAAAATAACAACAGATGTTATTGCTGACACAGTATGAACTAAAAGGAAATAGTATTTATTATTATTATTATTTTTACTCAAGCATCATCAAGAGTTGAAGATAATTCATGCAAGATTTGGTTGAGTTATCTCCAAGAGATATGTAGAATGAATCCTTTTTGTTATCACAAGTTTTATGAAAAGGATGATGGTATAAGTTATGAATCCATTTCCTTTAACTGTTTAAAAGTAAGCATTAATTTATTCACTACAGATGCATACATCACTCCAATTTCACTATAAACCTATAATACTTTTTAAACTAATAAAACTAATAGAACAAAAGCTTCAAAACCTCTAAACAACTTTGTCCCCTGAATTGAGCTAAGCCAATGAAGAAGCTCCCACACTTTAACTGTCAATGAACTAAGCAAGACATCATCATGCAGATTTAAATTTTTTGTATATCTGTAACTTCCTACTCTACTGCTTGTATCCTGATATCAGATGCTGATCCCCAGATGAAGAAGAACATAAAAGAGAGGTCTTATGTGCTGCTTTCATTGAAGCTAGTGTATTATAAACATTACTTAGACTTCCTTAAGTATTGCAAGGCAAATTCTTTTACATTAATGTTTTTGGAAATAATTTATTACAACATGGCAAGTTGTTCAGTAATTCTTTATTTTATGAACAAAATAACAATGGATATGCCTTTACAGTATTTGTAGTAAGTTTAAAATTGCCCACAATGCACATAGAAATGGCTAGCTAATATTTCTGTCTGGAAGTCTATTCATGGGAATCAAATTACATGGATTTTGACTAGAAACTCTATTAAGTCAATAATATGAATGAAACAATGAACAGTGAAACATAAATGCACGATTCATATACACACTATAGTTGGGCTGTTGTCACTAATGGCCTTAAGTAAGTATAAAGCTGATAGGGGTTTTTAAATATAATGTAGTATCATAAATTCTGATACAAAATGATAAATCCCAACATCCCAGATAAATGTGCTTATTGTTCATGGGATAAAATATATTGCATCCTTTATTTGTTTTAATTTTGCAGCTCAGTTCTTATATAGTCTTTATAAAAGATCTTTAAAAATGGATATTATTTTGGAAAATATGTTTATATTACATGCTTCAGAGTAAGATAGAGCAAGGGGGTGTCATATTGTAAGAAGAAACAATTAAGAAATATATATCAGTGGGTACTTTCATCCTGATTCTTTAAAAAAAATACTCAGGTGAATATTGGAGCAAGTTTACTTTTCTTCACTTGAATTACCCCACATTGTTTCAGCAGTGCTCAATTAGGACTATTCATATACTCCTATCACAGGAAAACTCCAAAATATTAAGGATTTTGAGGAAGTAACACTCATCCTTGCTATGTTATTCTTTTTTCTCTCACACTGTTGAAGTTGTGGGGATATTTAATCAAGATTTTTGAGTATCATTTTATGATTAAAGAATGGACCTACATTTTCTAAATAATTTCTCTGCACCAGATCTGATCTCTTTGTTTTTCAGGCTATATATCATTGGGTTTAACACTGGAGTTAAAATTCTATATTGAACAGAGATTACTTTGTCCAGTTCTATAAGTGATTCTGAACTTGGCTTCATATAGCGAACAAAAGCTGTAATGTAAAATAAGCCCACAACAATGAGATGGGAGCTGCACGTGGAAAAAGCTTTCTTCCTGCCTTCTACTGATTTAATTTTCAGGATAGTTAAAATAATGTAAATATAAGAGACAAGGGTTATAAGAAATGGACTAACACCAAAAACCAACACAGATATTAGAAGAATAATGTAATTCATGAATGTGTTTGCACAAGATAAAGCCAAGAGGGAAGGGAGCTCACAAGTATAGTGTCTGATTACTTTGTTGCCACAAAAATGAAGATTTTGCAAAGGTACTACATTCACCATAGAATAAAAGAAACCCATCAGCCAAGCTCCAACCACCATTTTATTGCATGTCTCTTTTGTCAAGTATCTGCTATAATGCAAGGGGTCACATATAGCCACATATCGGTCATAACCCATTGCTGAGAGGATGAAGACTTCTGTACAAGCAATTTGGAAAAAGAAGGCAATCTGTGCAATGCATCCTTCCCATGAAATGGTTTTCTGCTTTGTAATAAAATTTGCCAGCATCTTGGGAACAGTGACTGAGGAATAGCAGATGTCAACAAAAGCTAAATGGCTGAGAAAGAAGAACATGGGGGTCTGAAGGCAAAGCTCAGATTTGATCACCAGTATAATTATTGTATTCCCCAAAATAGTGAGTAAAAAAAGGAGGAAGAACAAGAAAAGAAAATAAATTTCTATGTGTGGATCATTGGAGAGCCCCAGCAAGATAAACTCTGTCATTATTGTGTGATTTTCCAGCTCAGAGGATTCAGGAAACACAGGATCTGGAAAAGAAAAAGAAAAACAAATACCAAATCATTGAGTCAGAGTTAATTTCCATTAAATTGTATGCATATATTTAAATTTAGCATCTTCAGATTAATGCTTAAAAATTCTTAGGAATGAATGATGATCTGTTTCTTCCTTTTTATTTGTTTCATTAATGGGGAAATATAATTTTTGACTTTTTCTTTTAATTATGTGTTTAATTTTTCTTTATAGTTTTTCATTCATAAATTTTGGTAACATGTATCTTTTCTGCACCCATTTGGCTTACACCTCTGTGCATTAATGAAGTTTACCATGTATAAATAAAAGAGTACTATTCATGAAGTTACATTCAATTACACACACACACACACACACACTAATTTATCCACATGAACATTAGTTATGCATTCTGCAGGAGAAGCTGTTTCTAAGGACAGTGTTAATGCATATTATTACAAAAGTCTATTGTATATGCTATATTAAAAGTAGTAGCATTTTAGGAAGTTGAAGTATATGGTTTGAAAATGCTGGACCATCCTTTCTTTCCACTATGGCAATGAAGGAGATTCTCTCCTTCTGACAACCTATTAATTTGCTGTTCATGTATTCAATATGTATCCTACTCTACCTTTATTGACAGGGAAATCATATTCTCCTGCTGACCTTCTGGAGACTATATAGAGACATCTGTTTTAGAGTTTTATTTCACAACAGTACTAAAATGATTTCTATTCCTTTTTTTCCATTTTTTGTTCCTTTTCAATTTTTCAGTTCTTATAGTTTGGGGTTTTTTATCCTAGTTCTGATGGAACTAGTTTCAGCTTCAGATCATGCTTTTTTTTTTTTTTTGCTTAAGAATAACTTTTCCCCCCAGCAAGCTGATCCCAATTTTTACACTGAATTTTGATTATGCATATTTGACTTGAAAAATACACAAACACACACACACACACAGTCATGGTACATATCAGCTAATCATGCTCAGATAGAAAAATAGAAAGACATATCTGTGTTTGTATCTATGTCTATATTTCTATCTATAATATGTATATTTATACCTATTGCTTTATCTTTCTCTCTCTTTACTAATGGCCATAATTACAAAATTGCTTTCTTTCCTTTAATCACAAATCACAACATACATGCACACACACAAAGATAAGAATAGCAGTTACCTTCTAAGAAGTAGTTCTGTTGCAGCAAAGCCATATTCTGCATCTATTTGAGTAGAAGTTTTCTTTGAGCAAGACATTAAAGAAGGAGTCAGCTAATGGCTTCCTCGGTCATTTCAGAGCAGTAGAAATTCAAATGTCATGGTTCTGACAGACAGAGACAAATAAAGCAGAACTCCAAGACTTGAAGATTCCTCAAAGAACATGTTTCTTAGTTACAAAGTATCGGCATGATCAAAAGTGAAACCAAGTCTGAATACACATAATAATTGCCCAATTACAAAGTTAAATGTCCCACCCACAAAAGTATGCAAGCAACTATGTTCCCCAATATACTTACTTGACGGGCTTTTTATGCAACACCCAGTCCCTAGTCTGGGGAGCAGCAGATGACCTTGGTTCCCACAGGACAGAAGATTATATTGACTAATGAAGCACCTGGGCAACCCTTCTCCCTCTGTTCTATGTGGCAACCTAGAATGAGAAGAAAAAATGCCACAAAGTTTTTGCCACAAAGTTTTTGTTTATCTTTCCTTTATTTTCCCTTATTTAAAACAATTGACAGTTAAAATACTTAGAATAAAAATAATCTACTTTAAAATGTGAAGTCATTATGAAAGGAATGCATAAGCGTAAGGATTACATATGTTTGGATAAACATGATTTATCAAATGGAAAAGAAGTATTAATGCCATGTGGAATTTAAGAGCATGTTTGAATGGTTCAAGGTCCTCTCTGTTTGGAGCAATCTATCTTAAACCCTACTTGGAATATATAAGTGCTGTATACCTGTACATATTACCGAATTTTTTACAAAGGAAAATAAAATTTAATATAAACTAATATGAAGTGAGCAGAAAAGAAAAAGAAATCAAAGAGAAAGCTAAAAGTGAAAGAAAAATAGAAAAGTTATAAGTTCAGTTATAAGTTTATCTCTTACTTACTATGGTTATTACATAACTCTCTTCTGTCTACAATCTGTTCTATCTAATCATCAAGACCATAAGTCATAAGTTAATTACTTTCTGCTTTATACAACAAATCAATAAGGGTTTCCAATCACAAATAAATATAAATATTATCTTATCTCTGATCAAAGAAATTAATTTAGGCATTTTATAAATGCTGTGTACATGCTGATAGAGTTATTCAGCCTTGTGGTTTGACCTGGGTATTAAGGTTTGTATAAATGAGAATTATGCCAATTGGGGGTGCAGTGTAAAGGGAGGAACAAATCATGTTGCACAGCCCAGAATGATTATGGATTAACATGAATGATAGTACTCATCCCAAAGTCACTTTGTTCCCAGCTGCATAGCAAATAAGCTGCTAGGGAGAGCTCTCTGCAAACTAGCTGTTATGCTTTTGTTAGAATCTGGTAATTGGCTTGTAACATGCATATGGTTTCTGAAAAATCATGGTCTTGGACTCAGGATAAGATAGATGCAAATTAATGTACTGTAGTATCCTGATACACATGATAGTTTGACTGGATAGCTGTGGATATTAGCCCTCCCCCTCCACCACCACCACCCCGGCTCTGAGTACTTTCCATTCATACTCTTGGATAGGGTAATATATCTCCACTCAAGAATGGTTCACAGTCGGTGGATTCTTTTAGACTCACAGTTCTTTCTCAAAGAGCAGGGTGCAGATGTGATCAAGGGGGTCTTCACTCATCTCCAAAAAGTATGACAGCTGTTTCATTTCAATGGTTCAAACAGACACTAATGATGTAACCATCTCAATGCTTGTCTACTGCAATGTGCTGTATTTGGGGCTGCCATTAAAAACCAATTGAAATCACCAATTAGAAAAAAAAAACACTTAAAAAAAGACCCTTGAAAGAGGGGTCGAAGAGGCCATCTACATTACAACTGAACAGCCCTCTCTTAACAGAGGTGGAGGGTTATGACACCACCTATCTCCTGTTTACAACATAGTTCTTTCAGCAGTTCCAAGAAGGTTCCACATCCATTTGCACTATTCTGGGTGTACAGTGCCTCAACGACTCTGAGAGAGAGTGCTAACAACCAGATGATTGCAAGGAATATAAATCCTTCCATTCTCCACCATTCAGTTAAAACTAAAGAAGCTTCTTGGATAGGAAGTGAAATGTCTTCAAGGAAAAACAAAGAAGTCCAGTTGCTTTTTGAAAAAGCACCTTTGGGAGTAACCTCATAGATTTTCCCCATGATGATATTTCCCTAACTTGTGCCTTCATTTCTTCCATTAATGATGCATCACCACCATAACTGAGTCCATCCACCTTGCTGCTGATTATCCCTTTCCATTTCCTCCTACCTTTCCCAGTTTTAGAGACTTGCTCACACAGCTAGCTTTTACGTAATGTGCCTGATATATTTGAACCTAATATATTTGTGCCTGGAATAACAAATTTGGGTTGATTTCTTGATGACATATAAATTCATTTTCCTGGCAATCATAATATATTCAGGATATTTTTCCAAAATCACATTTCAAAAGCATCAATATTCTTTCTTCCTATTTCTTCAAAGTCCATTTCTAATTTAGGAGTCATATAAAATTGAAATATAAACTATATGCAGAGAGAAACTCAAATTATCAGTTTGTCATAAATTCATGTACTTCATTGCCATCCAAGAGTTGATTCCAATTTGAAATAAATTATTTTGAGATTTTAGACATCAAAGCATACTTCCACAATTTAGTTAATATTCTTCTGTATCAAATATCTTTTTCAATAAAAGGTATTGCTTAAGTTAGCATTTACAAAATGAGTTTAGTGTACTTGTAGGAATATGTAATTTCACAAAATATAATAAAATATCTCAGGCTAAAATGAGAATTCAACTTTTAAGGTTTATTTAGTCATTGTATAAATCATTTTCATAAAACATTTAGATTTGCAGCATTGCTACTACACTATAAAATAATGATCTGTTTATGGTATTTCCACCAATTTTAAGAAAATAAACTATAAATCATATACCGATTTTCTCTAAAATTTGATGTAAATGTAATATTTTTCTTTGACTGAAAATCCCTTTGTTGGACATTTAATGCTCATCTAAACTCTGTAGCAAACTGATCATACTGTCTTTGACTTGTTCTCTTTTTGAATCATATTTCACTAGCAATTTTTAAATAAAGTTCAGCAGATACTCTGAATAAGAAGTTTTTCAAACTAACTGAAATGTCTAAGAACAGGTAGTCCTGAACTTACAACAGTTTATTTAGTGACCATTCAAAGTTACAATGGCACAGACAAAACTGACCTATGACCATTTTTCACAAATAACAGTTCAGCATTCCCCTGGCCATTTGATCAAAATTCAGATGCTTGGCAACTGACTCATAGTTATGACAGTTGTAGGGTTCTGGAATTATGTGGTCACCTTTTGTGACCTTCTGACAAGCAAAGTCAATGAGGAACCAGATTCATTTAACAACCATGTTGCTAACTTAACAACAGCAGTGATTGACTTAAAACCTATGGCAAGAAAGGTTGTAAAATGGGGAAAGTTCACTTAACAAATGTTTCACTTAACAACAAAAATGTTGGGCTCAATTGTGGTCTTAAATTGAGGACTACCTATATCTTTCTTCTTTCTGAGGGTGTTTTTTTTAAAGTGTAAACATTGTTTTGATGTGATCTAATTATAAAGATTAGTTAATTTCCAATCAGGTACAGCAGATATAGTTCAGATATTGGAAGCTTGATTTATTAATCTGCAATGACAATTCAAATAAGGTTACAATTAGTGGCATTTCCAATATAACATGTCTTGTACTTTTGCATTTTGAAATGATGTATACTAACTACATTCATGGCAAAATTTAGAATGTAATGATATTAGTTTTATGTAACATACTAATAAATGTAAGAGAATAGAAATATATCATAACTTTCTGTTCTCTACACATTTGTCATGAAAGAACTAAAAATAAGTGATGTAGTCAGCACTAAACATTAGAAGTAAATTAACAGTAAAAGTTAAACAGTAAAAGTCTGATAGGTTTATGATGTTACATGTCTTTGATATTGCAAGAGAGACTCCAATACATATTTGAGTATTTGGAAGAATACATTTGGAAGAAGATGAGTAAATTTCCTTGGATTACCAGAATAAAGGGAAACCCTCTGTTGGGAAACAGAAGGCCAATCTGTGCTGGCATCTGACTTTGATTCCAACTCTTTTGCTAAGTGAACAGGTTCAGGTTCAGAGCTAGCTGTTCCATCTAAATACATATTTGCTTCTGTTATAGGAACAAAGTGTTGGTTACTTCATCAATAGCCAATATTGTTGCAACAGGTACATTGGCACTGAGAAGACTGGATGAGAGTTATACTGATGTTCCAGGTTTTTCACTTATAGTTTATCAGTACTCCTCAAGTTACATTCATTCATTCAATAATTGTTGAATGTTATGAGATCACCAAGATAGCAGATCAAAAGATGTTCTAATCCTTTGTGATAGTAATAAATCAATTATGGTGGGAGTAGTGAAAATCAAATCAGACTCTCAAGGTCCTCAACAGTGTTTCAATACTACAATTGAAGCTTCCAATTTCATTTGGCTTAACATGATAACTAGGTCCAGGCTTGTTGAAATTTCTCAGACACAAAACATGAAATGGCTAGATAAGAATTTTTAATGGTCACTAGAAGACAACCAACCTGGATTAGTTTTGAAAGCTCGCTAATTCAGCATGCTTGGAGTAGGAATTAAAATAACTTTGCCACTGATTCTAGTAGAAGTGATATTTGTCAAAGCACTTGGCTTTTTCTTTCTTTCATCCCAAAAACAACCTTATAATTTTGGTCAGTATAGTTCAGAAAACAGATGTTATTGCAGACTGAATATAGGCTGAAGAGAATTAGGGTTTTTTAAAAAAACAAAATGTAGTCAAACACACTCATGTTTTCAAAGGAATTCACTTCATAACCATTTTTTGTGCATAAAAGCTGTTTGACAATTTAGCATTTTTATTGCAAGTGCTATAGCAAGGGAAAGAAGTATGTTACATTTATTTCAAAGGTTAATTTATTTATTTACAGGACATATATGGTTATGTAACTCATACTCTAGCTGGTTCAGAACAATCCATAAAACATGGATAACATTTGTTCTTTATCTTAGGGGCCAGACCAAACATCCTTATAGTGCAGTGGTTCTCAACCTGTGGGTCAGGACTCCATTTGGGGTTGAACAACCATTTCACGGGGGTCGCCAAACAATGCAGTCTGCCATTTTTCCCCCTTTTCCTTAGCT